CTCCAACCCCAAAAAACAAGCTACACAAAGGAAAGGGAAGGAGATAATGGTTGAGGATGAAGAAGTGGAGTTTGAAGATGAAGATGAGGAATCTCAAGAAGAAGAAGATTTTGTGGATTTGGAGAATTCGAATGGAGAAGAGGATGAGGGAGATGCTCTACTTGATGATGACATGGAAAATGATTATGTTGAGCTTGAGGAGGAGAATTAGTCATTTGATTCGTGTTTGATTTGCATTTTATTTATCCTTGCTTTGATTTGAGAATTGGAAGACTTGAACTTATCAACTGTTTGTCGTTTGGATTGATTAATTGACTTTTTTTTTTCCTTTGATGTGTGTGGTTATTTTAACATGATGAAAGATGCTTGATATGTTGCTATGCTTTGAAATTAATGTCTCTTTTTGTGTAATTTGTTGACATGTTTTTAGGTGTTTTTGTGTTCATATCTAAATTTTACATCAATAGATATATATAAATTATATATTTTTTGGTCCGCCATTACTTCCGCCATTTTCCGCTACGCCATCCGCCATAGAAATATGGCGGTTTTTTAGCTTTCCGCCATGGACCGCCATTCGCCATCGATAACACTGCTGTAAACTGATAAAGAGTCTTTATGGTCTTAAGCAAGCATCTAGACAATGGTTCTCAAAATTAACTTCCTGTCTTATTGAGTATGGATTTGTGCAGTTTGTTTCTGATAATTCCCTGTTCATTATGCAAACTGACTGTTCTTTTACAGTCTTACTGGTTTATGTTGATGATATCATAGTGACAGGAAATAATTTGCTGCATATTTCAAACATCAAAACTCATCTTGATAAATGCTTCACCATTAAAGAATTAGGCACATTAAAGTATATTCTTGGATTGGAATTTGCCCATTCCACTCAAGGAATAAACATGTGTCAAAGAAAGTATGTGTTAGATATACTAACTGACACAGGTTTCTTAGATTGTAAGCCTGCCACAACTCCCATGGATCCAACCATTAAACTTTCTGCTTATACTGAAAATGATCCATTGGCAGAGCCTACAACTTATAGAAAACTGATTGGCAGATTACTATATTTGACAATATCTAGACCTGATATTGCTTACAGTGTTCAGACCCTTAGTCAGTTTCTTTCAAAACCCACTATTCAACATCTCAATGCTGCACATAGAATACTCAGATATTTAAAGGGTACAGTTGGTAAGGGCATATTGTTTTCCAGAACTTCTAACCTTCAGCTGCAGGCTTTTTCAGACAGTGATTGGGCTTCTTGTGTCAATACCAGAAAAAGCATAACAGGTTTTTCAGTTTTTTTGGGAATTTCCCTTATATCTTGGAAATCCAAAAAGCAAGCAACTATAAGTAAATCATCTGCAGAGGCTGAATACAGAGCTTTAGCCTCTACAGCTTGTGAAATTCAATGGCTTTTATACTTGCTTGATGATCTGAAAATCTCACACAATGAACCTGTTTCTGTTTATTGTGACAATAAATCTGCCATTGCTATTGCTACTAACCCTGTCTTCCATGAGCGGACAAAGCATATACAGATTGATTGTCACTTAATCAGGGAAAAGGTCTCTCAAGGTTTGATAAAGCTTCACCATGTGGACACAAAAGACCAAATCTCAGACATTCTTACAAAGGCTTTACCTGGTCCTGCTTTCCTTTATCTTGTTTCCAAGCTTAACATGATTAATATACATGTAAAGCTTGCGGGGGGGTATTAGTGTTAGGTATTATGTAAGGGTAGATTTTATGTTAAAGTTGCTATTAGGGAATAGCAACTATAGGCCTTATGTAATTTTACTTTATTGCCCTTGTAACCCTAAGTATATAAACACTACACCATCACTGTACACTTTACTTTTCCTCATTCAATTCATACGCAGTCTTCTTCTTCTTCTTCATACAATTTCTCTCCTCATCTGATATGTAAAGCTTGAGATCTGATATTATCACCTTCTCATAGAAAATGCGGAATGTCCAAGAAACTGTAGCATAAGTTCTGCAACCAAAAATAAAAAAAGCAGAAAACAATTGAATCACACTTAGAAGCTTAATCCAATTCATATCAGTTTCGTTGAAAGCGTCGTATGAGTGTGCCTATACGAGCTATGGGAATTATGAGAAGGAAATACACATAACAAGCGCCTTTAACGAAGTCATGTAAACCTAATCCAAAGACAAAACAAAGCACCTTTTGAATATGATAACTATGAATATCAAAATTCTCACATGTAAAATCAAAGACAATCCAACAGGATGTCCAACTGGCAATGGTAGTAGAAACAATAATAATAACAACAACAACAACAACAACAACAATAACGAAAGCAAGTACAGAAGCAATTAAAAATTAATTCAGATGCCAAACGGGCCTTACTTTGGTGGATGAAATGATTCTCCAACCTGTCTCCACAATTTGGCTCCAGTTACCTATTCAAGGATCACAAATTCATAAATACATAAATACTGAAATGGCAGCTGAGAGTCCTCTACTACTACAACAACAACAACAAGCCGTCAGAACTCCATTAAGTGGGGTCGGCTATATGAATCACATGTCGCCATCGTGTTCGATCAAAACACAAATCCTCATTCAAATTTAAATATTTAAGTCATTTTTTATTGTTTCCTTCCATGTTTGTTAGGTCTACCTCTCTCCTTTTTCATTTGCGTTCCTAATTCTAATGTTTCTACCCTCTCACAGGGGCCTCGAAGTCTCTCTTACGCACATGCTCAAACCATCTTAATCGTGATTCTCACATTTTCTCGCGTTACCCCAACTTTATTACTAATACTTTTATTTCTAATCTTATCTAACCTAGTATGCCCACACATCCATCTCAACATTCTCATCTCTGTCACTCGCATTTTTTGATCATTTTCGTATTTAGTAGCCCAACACTCGGATCCATAAAGCATCGATAGAACTTGCCTTCATTAGTACTTCGATCACAAAGTATCTACAACGCGCTCTTCCACTTGTTCCATCCCGATTGAATTCTATGTGTTCAATTCGCGTTCCCCAATCTTAACCTTTACCCCATTATTACTCCTTTGATTACTAAAATTACACTCAACATGTTCTGTTTTGGCCCTACTTATTTTGAAACCCTAAGATTCAAACACCACTCTCCATGTTTCTAACTTAGCATTTACCTCCACTCTCGTCTCATCTACTAACATTAACACTATGTCATTTTCAAACAACACGCAATCTCCGACATCCAATTGCAAATGTTTTGTAAGTTCATCAATTACTAATACAAAGATATACGAGCTCAACACCGAACCTAGATGCAAACCAATAGTATTTTGAGCTGTTGAAATGAACCTATTCGAAGTGGCTCATTTTGTACCAGGTAATTGAGATCCACATTTTGAAAAGTTCTGTTAGGTTCTTAGTAGCAATCAACGACCTTTTCTTCTTTTACTGAACATAGCTTTTCACCTCTTTGATAGCTGGAAGTTCTCCAAAAGATGTATCTAGAGAGAATTCGCCTTGCAGTGACTATTCCCTAGATACACACGCCGTGTTATTTCACAATTGAACTAAATTCAATGAGTGAAGACCCGTGGGCCTTCTACCTCCACGCGACATTGCTCCGTCATATGGAATTCACAGGATATCCCTACCGGTGTCCTAACACAAGTTTTCACATATCTTTTATGGTTTCTAATTTTCTATATAACCAACTCGCACCCCCCACTTTTCTAACTCTCTACATTATACCTCTATCATATGCTTTTTCAAGGTCAATAAAGACCATATGCAATTTTTATTTTTTTTTTCTTATTAAAATGTTCACAAAGTCTTTACATGAATAGCTTCCATTGTTGATCTACCTGGAATGAAGCCAAATTGGTTCAAATAAAATATCAAAGTGATTCAAATAGCTGCATTTACTTCTATAGACAGAAGAAGCGCCCATCTCCTCACCATTGCACAAACCTACCCCACCCTTTACATATATTCAATTTCCCTTACCAATATAATGCCCATCTCCCTCCAGAAAAATGCAATCCCCAACCCATGCGTTTATAGATATGTATCGTTAAGCATTAATGCAGGTGAATATCCTACATGTATATATTACATGTATTTTTCAAAATTTTGAAGTAGTAAAATATGGATAATGGAATCACTAACATCTATTTTGTTTAATAGACCTATTTTGTTTCACGGATCCCCGACCCGTGTCAATAGGGTAACTTCGATTTTTTTCTAAGATTTCAATATTTGGACTAGTCTTCAATTAGTTAGAAAGAAGCACACTTTTTAAAAATAAAAGTTAGTGGGGATCTTTAAACAGCCAGACAAAATTCAGTGACAATTAATATGATATACCTAAAATTATACCGGCTTCGGGTATGCAGGAGCTGATTCGGAAGAGCGCTCTAAACATATTAACAGATTGCAGCTTGTTCTAGATTGCATGTCAATGGGAATATATACCCTATCAATTTATAATGTTTCACGCTCTTAATCGAGCTAAGAATAGTCTTAGATGTTGGAATATAGCATGATTAACTGATATTTCTATCATGGTATTTTTATTCTGAAACATGAATAAGATATCCAGATCCATTAAATCAAATACCAAATGAAACTCATCCAAGAGGACATTTTCATTTTCCATTCAAGATTCAACCAAACATTGCAGACAAGGTTCGAGACACAAATAATATCGACACACCTTTGGTATCAGATGCTCGGCACAACAATAACCGAATTGTACTTGCCCAATTTTATTTATGTGTCCTAATTCTATTAAATGAAATCCGTAAGGCATATGCAGTTTGGAGATCATGTAATTTATAAGCATACTTAAGTATTTGCTTCAATATGAGTCCGCAAAACCAAAGGTTTTCAAGCCTAAAGCTTCGTAAGAATCTAAAAATTTCTAAGATACATAAGCCCAATTATATGCATGCACACCAAATTAACCCGTAAATCAAGAGTACAAATATAAAAAAGTTAAAGGCCATAAGAAACGTTAAGACACGCATACCGTGTCGTAGCCTCCCAACTTAATCACCGCCCTCCATAACCTAGCAAACAACAAAGTTACAAAATGAACCCATCCGGCATACCCAATAACAAAGTCGTTACAAGACTAACTGCAAGAGATGCTTACTTTAGGCAATTTAGTGGCTGCCCGTAAAATTTGGGAGGTTTGAAGTCTAGTGCCTTCTCCCTGTGAAAACTCTCAAGTTCCTTCACGAATGCAATTTGATCCTCTAGTGTTCCATCATCGCCTTCTCCCATCTAATAAAAAACTATTATATGTTACCAATGCAAATTTATGTAAATATAGATTCATATATATTCATATTTGTGGCATTTATTCTCTAGTCAGTAAAAAAAAAAAAAAGAAAAAGTATTACCCAAGGCAGTGTTGATTGAGTAGAAAAAGACTTGAAGGTATCTCCACTCATGTCTTCAACCTTTTCAGGAGAATTTACGCCAGGGGAATCTATTTTAGCAGCTTCGTGCTTGTTCAGCCGCAAAGCATCATCCCCTTCATTTCTGGCAGCAACTACATCAGTCTGGTCATTCCCATCAGTTTCAGTAGGAAGAGCTGTTTCCACACCTTGCCCCATCGGACTATCTTGGTCATGTTCATCTTTATCCAAATTAGCCGCATCATTCATTTCTACATCCTCAACGTGCTGAACATTGTCAAGCTCCATTTCCTGCCTTTGAGGGGGTTCATTTGAAGAAAGTTTCGCATGGTCCACTTGAGTAGTCTCCATTGTCTTTTCTTCTATTGAAACACATTCAGCACCATCCGAGTTCAGCTTGCAGATTTTTTCAGGATTATTCTCTTTAACATCTTCATTAAGTTTTTCTACCACATCCTTCACATGATTTTCATTGTCCATCTCCTTCTCCTTTGGGTTCTCTTGCAACCCACAATTAGCAAATTTTTGTTCCACCACTCCAGTCTCGATATCTATTTGTTTCTTCACTGAACCACAACCATTCAGCCCATCTTTTGCATCAGCGTTTATTTTCTCAACATTCCCACTTTTGGTACTGTTTTCTTCATTAACGGAACCTTCCTCATTGGTCACAATATTGTGATTACTTTCTTCTTTCACCTTGTTATTGCAGTTGTTGTCCTTTTCTTCATTTAAACATGTATATACATCTTCTCGGTCGTTCTCCATTTCGATTACATTGCCCAATACAGTAAAATTCTCTTTTTTTGCTTTCAACATTATCATTCACGACTTCACTTTTTGAACATTTTTTTCTGAACCACTGGGTAGCTTTTCGGCATCTTCCATCTCCAAACCACTTTTTTCTCTTAATGGTATCTACTCGAAGTCATCACAATAGGTCCATCAAGACATATTCTAACAGACACATAGATAGTTCTCACGGTCGCAAAACAGGACAAGCAAAACGCGTAAACCTCAAACACAGATACAATGTAAATATTCAAAATCAAGGGACACCCAACAACAATTCAGAAATCATTTACCAAAACGAGAAGGTGAATTTTCAATGCATTTGGGGGTGGGGCTAAAAACCCATATCTAACTAAACTCGAAACACGACGAGGACACCGAAAAACAAAATTCCCAATTCTGTTTAAGTCGATTAACAACAGATTAATTTTTTTTAAAAAAAAAAAAATAAATCAATGACATCATGAATCAAAGGTACCTTCAGAGATTTAAGAGATTAAAATAAGATGGCTACGAACTCAGGGATTTGCGTCGTTTATCCAGGTAGAACTAATCGAGGTGGCAACGAGCGAGCGAGTGTTCCGATCTCTGCGTGCCCTACAGCTTCAGCTAAAAATTGGCCGACATCAAAACAGGCAAGAAGATCAAGATTGTCTATGTAATCTGCAAAACTTAGTTTTGAATGGGTGGATTGGATGGTTTCAAAAGCCTATAATTTCTTTTTCAAATGAGATTTGGGTCATTTGTTTGATTTTTGCATAGGATGTTGTACAAGTAATTGGAGAATTGTACAACCTACTATTTGCTAAGATTATGGTTGATTTGTGAAATAAGATTGATGATGATAATCTTATTCGGCTATTATATCAATGGGTCATTTGTTTGATTTTTTGCATAGGATGTACAAGTAATTGTAGACTTTCCAAACCATCCCCATTCAAAACTAGAATGAATTTTAAAAAAGTTGATATGATTAGTAGTTTGTGGGAATTTTATTTTATATTAAAATAATATTTAAAAGAGAATAATTAAAGTTGATTTAATGTAAAAATATAACATGTGTTAAAAGTTGATGTGAGATCTTCTGTTGGTATGGCTATCATGCAGTTGTTATGCATTAATTTTCAGAGAAGTATGCTCAGTTCCGAAGGCTTTTGGTATGTGTTGGTTGAGGTTTAAGAAAGAAGGGAAATGAAGAGCATGCTTAAGTTGTGTTTGAACCTTGTTTTGTGTTATATGTTGTTGTGCATTTTATGTAATTTATTTGCTGGTTTGTATGGTTTTAAAAGAGTTTAAGTTCAGTTCTTAATTAGCTTTAGGGGAAATTCTATTGAAAGGCCTAACTTTTAGTATATGTATTAATATAAGGTCTGAATTTTATTCTCACTTTAAGGCTTACTTTTTAGTTAACTTTTCATTATAAGACCCAACTAACTTTACTTTTTTATATAAATATGTAAAACAATTATTATGTGAATAAAAATTTATTATTATTATTATTATTATTATTATTATTACTATTATTATTATTATTATTATTATTATTATTATTATTATTATTATTATTATTATTTATATTTTACATACTCATAATAAAAAATAATAAATATCCTTAGTAAAATTATATTAATAAAAAATGAAACTATATAAATTACAATGATAAAACAGTGGAATTATAATGATGGGAAACTAAGATAGTAAAATTATATTAATAAAAAATGAAACTATATAAACATCTATTTTCAATGATGTAATTTTCATTGTTAAACTTTTTGCATAAATATAATATATATAGTTTCACGTCATTGTAATTTATATAATTTTATTTTTTATTAATATAATTTTACTAAAGATATTTATTATTTTTATATTATAAGTATGTAAAATATAAATTACAAAATAATAATAATAATAATAATAATAATAATAATAATAATAATAATAATAATAATAATATTTTTATTCACATAATGGGTCGCTTATTTAATTAAAAAAAATTCTGTGGCAAAAAATAAAAGAAAAAAAATATTGTGGACAAGAATCAAACAGACGGATTATGGAAATCCGTTTTTTCTTAAAAAACGGATTTTCATAATCCGTTTTTTTTTTTTTTTTAAACGGATTTTCAAAATCTGTTTTTTAATTTATTTTTTTTAGATCGGATTGTGAAATTCGGACTCGTTAGGGCTCGTCTGAACTCGGAATTAAGTTCTGTTTTTTCCTACATGTCGCCAACGAAGCCTTCTACGTATTTATGCTTTCGAATCTAATTTATTCTTGAAAACCTATTCTTCTAAAGCTCTTGACCTGAAGTTGGCAGCTTCCGTGCACGACTTCGCATATCAGGCCCGTTCGGACGCGTCCGAACTCGAAATTGAGTTTCGATTCTTCGTACATATCGCCAACGAATCCTACTACTAGAGCATGCTTTCCTGACCAATTTTCGGGCTGGAACTATTCCTTGCGGCGCTTCCGGCCAAAACGGGGAAAAAGAATAAAAAAAACGAAGAAAACTAACAAAATTCGGGCTCGTTTGGGCTCGTCCAAACTCGAAATTGAATTCCGTTTTTTCTTGAATGTCTTCAACGAAGCCTTCTACATAATTATGCTTTCAAATCCAACCTATTCATGAAAACCTATTATCCCAAAGCTCTTGACCTGAAGTTGGTGGCTTTCTTGCATGACTTCGCATATCGGGACCGTTAGGACTTGTTCGAACTCGAAATTGTGTTTCAATTCTTCTTACATGTCGCCAACGAATCCTACTACTAGAGAATGGTTTTCTGACCAATTTTCGGGCTGGAACTATTGCATGCGAGGCTTCCGGCCTAAAACGGGGGAAAAAGAATAAAAAACGAAGAAGACTAGCAAAATTCAGGCTCGTTTGAGCTCGTCCGAACTCGAAATTGAATTTCGTTTTTTTCTACATGTCGCCAACGAAGCCTTCTCTGTAATTATGCTTTCAAATCCAACCTTTTCTTGAAAACCTATTATCTCAAAGCTCTTGACCTGAAGTTGGCGGCTTCCTTGCACGACTTCGCATATCGGGACCGTTCGGACTTGTCCAAAATCAAAATTGAGTTTCGATTCTTCCTACATGTGGCCAACGAATCCTACTACTTGAGTATGCTTTTACGGCAAATGTTTGGGCTAAAAATATCTATAGCGGGGCTTTCGACCTAAAACGGGGGAAAACAAAAAAAACGGAAAAAACTAGCAAAATTGTACTGATCTAAGTTCAATTGGACTAATTCGAGTTCTATTACACTATAATTGACCGTTATTGTTACAATCACGGTCAACTATGGTGTAATCGAACTCGAATTAGTCCAATTGAAGTCAAATTACTATAATCTAAGTCAAATTAGTATGATCGAAATCAATTAGTCCAATCAAAGTTAAATTAGTCCAATCGAACTCGAATTGTCCAATTGAAATCAAATTAGTACAATCGAAGTCAAATTAGTCTAATCGAAGTCAAATTAGTACAATCGAAGTCAAATTAGTACAATCAATATCAAATTAGTCCAATCAAAGTCAAATTAGTCCAATCGAAGTCAAATTAGTATAATCGAACTCAAATTAGTCCAATCACGGTCAATTATAATGTAATCAAACTCGAATTAGTCCAATGAAAGTCAAATTACTATAATCAAAGTCAAATTAGTATAATAGAAATCAAATTAGTCCAGTCAAATTAGTATAATAGAAATCAAATTAGTCCAATCGAAGTCAAGTTAGTCCAATCGAACTCGAATTAGTCCAATCGAAATCAAATTAGTACAATCGAAGTCAAATTAGTCCAATCGAAGACAAATTAGTACAATCGAAATCAAATTAGTCCAATCAAAGTCAAATTAGTCCAATCGAACTCGAATTAGTCCAATCGAAGTCAAATTAGTATAATCGAACTCGAATTAGTCCAATCACGATCAATTATAGTGTAATCGAACTCGTATTAGTCCAATCGAAGTCAAATTACTATAATCGAAGTCAAATTACTATAATCGAAATCACATTAGTCCAATCGAAGTCAAGTTAGTCCAATCGAAGTCAAATTAATACAATCGGAATCAAATTAGTCCAATCGAAGTCAAATTAGTCAATCAAACTCGAATTAGTCCAATCGAAGTCAAATTAGTATAATTGAACTTGAATTAGTCCAATCTCGGTCAATTATAGTGTAATCGAACTCGAATTAGTCCAATCAAAGTTAAATTACTATAATCAAAGTCAAATTAATATAATCGAAATCAAATTAGTCCAATCGATCTCGAATTATTCCAATCAAAATCAAATTAGTACAACCAAAGTCAAATTAGTCCAATCGAAGTCAAATTTAGTACAATCAAACTCAAATTAGTACAATCAAACTCGAATTAGTCCAATAAAAGTCAAATTAGTATAATCGAACTCGAATTAGTCCAATCACGGTCAATTATAGTGTAATCGAACTAGAATTAGTCCAATCAAAGTCAAATTACTATAATCGAAGTCAAATTAGTATAATCGAAATCAAATTAGTCCAATCGAAGTCAAATTAGTCCAATCGAACTCAAATTAGTCCAATCAAAATTAAATTAGTAAATCAAAGTCAAATTGTTACAATCGAAGTTAAATTAGTCCAATCGAACTCAAATTAGTCCAATCGAAATTAAATTAGTATAATCGAAGTCAAATTGTTACAATCGAAGTCAAATTAGTACAATCGAAGTCAAATTAGTCCAATCGAACCCGAATTAGTCCAATAGACCTTAGGAGACAATTCAGATTGATCAGCATCGCGTCCCCCAGTCCCATTACCCGCTCCGGTGATCTTAGCAGCTTGGCGGCCCCAATTGGGAGCCATTGCCGAAGATTGGGCTGATGCTGGTCATGAGACATTGGATGAGTCTCCCACTCGGTTCTCCAGAGCTGGTAGAGTTCGAAGCTCTATTTCAATCCGAAGGGGCAAAGGGATGCTTTAGCCTGTATTA